ATAATGACTAAATTAATGGCCATTATTAAGAAAACGTTTTTAATCATTAAAGGAAATGTATAACGTTAAAAGCAATAATAATTTGTAGGTGAACAGCCATTTTGTAACAAGTTAAAATTATAGATTAAAATAGTCTTTTGAATCATCATTAAATTTTCACAAAATAATAATTAAAAGAACTTATTCATTTGAAATATTCAAAAATTTCCAACAATCCCCCACATATTTCAAATGAATTAATTTTATATTTTAAAATAGTAATTCCTTACTGGGTTCATATATGGGATGAGGTTTTTCAATCTGGTGTCCGTAGACTTGAACCAGACCTAGACGCCTAAGTCTTTAAATACCGAGTTTATTGGTGAAACATATAGTTTCTATGAACCAATAATCTACTTTGGTAAGTCAGTGTCTTAGGGGATCATTTTTCACCCCCACCTTTCTCGTCGTTAACGCCGTTGTGCGCCTCTAGGCCGTGCGCGTGCTTGGTTTTCTTGAGTGCTCTAGAAACGTTGTCAATGTTTCATGGAGGCGGCCCCACCTCACACTCATATAGGTAACCTCATCAAGTGTGTACTGCACTCAACACACCACCCGTAAGGGCTATGACAATCATTAAGACCTTTAGCTCAACCTCACAAAGAAATGCAGTCTAGCCTTCCGCACCATAGAAATGGACATTTTACAAGGCTAACAGAACAAATAGAAGACTTGTTATTACCCATTTGAACTTGCTTCATGGGATCTCCAATCACACAAGTTGGGTTCCCATCCCTATTTGTTGTCAAAGTGACATTAGTCCATTTCCCTCGATGTTTTAAATTAATTAAAAATTTGACGTCCTAGGGATTCTGTCAAAGGAGTAGCTAATTCCTTGACTTCACAAAATTAATGAATTAATTTCATTCTTCAAAGTCATTTAGACAAATTATATTTCTCAAACATCATTACACCACTTTTTCAGGGTGAATGGATATCCACATTTTTATATTATCTCATGTGAGTCGACTCAGATGTCGTCGTTGTATCCGGCAATACAACGGATAGCTCTTAATAAGAAATTTCATCGATGTGACCCTCTGGCACATCAGATAATTCTCAATAAAATATATACCACCAATGTATCATTATAGTACAATGGATAATTCTCATATAACATCATTGTACCGCTCTAGTACAATGGATATTTCTCAATAAATCATGTCATCGTTGTATCAATATATTACAACGGATAATCTCAATCAAATATATCACAATTAATATGGTACCTCTCAAGTATCTCAATATCTTTTTAAGGTATCCCAACTATCCATTTGGGTGGCATTTACACAACTTTGTGTTTTAATTATTATTTTTTTTTTTTTTTTTTTAAATTTTTATTAAAGTCATAAGGGATATTCACATTATTAACACTGAATGCCAAGTTTCTTTTAATAGTATCACTATTCTTCCTTATCGCTTTAATACTCAAAATTAAAATATAATGATAGTAAAATACAACCATTCTTCCTTATGGCTTTAATACTCAAAATTACATTTATTGACTTCATATATCAACTCAATATAACTACTCAAATAAGCATATAAAAAATTCTAGCAACACATGCATAAACCCATAATCGCACATGCATCATTTAGTGTGTACACATTTTTCTTCTTCAAAATTTATCACATTAATCTCTAAATAATATAGCTTAAAGCATCGCACACAAGCACACTATTTCTTCGATATAATAAAGCCATGTGCTCCACGTACTATTTTTACATATGAATAAGCGGCCAAAAAATTATATGAGCCGTTTATTAACTCAAGGTAACTAATAAGCATAACAACACAATTAACATCATAAAATTAATGATCCACGTCAAAATCAATTTTTACCAAATACACGTTTCAAATACTATAACTTTCCCCTTCACAAGAGTTTTTCTTGTCTATCAAGAAATTTATTTTCTCGCTTTATAGACAGTAATAAAACTTTAGCTAAGCACCCCCACATTTAAAAATATTTTATAATTGGTGAAAACTTTCAAATAATAAAACACAAATATTACTTTCAAGTGTTCCAAACACATGCAAGTAAAATAACTAAGTATCTACCTCCACGGCTCCACCTCGTGGTTTTCCAAAAGAAAAAAAAAAAAAAAAAATATACCAATAACAAGATATAAGATGCAGCATGCGAATCAAATCTCAGTTAATATGACCGGATTGCATTTATAGGTAAAGTAAACAAGCTTTAGGCAAATGATCCACCGATTATATTAAACATAATTAATATTTTACCAAACTGCAGTACAGCACATACAACACATACTATATATACGTAGTTGGCGTTAATAAAAGCCTAAGATAATGTAATCAATCAAAATAATTAACGAGATAACATGCAAGGCCACCCATAACTCCTCTCAAAAGGCAATAAGCAAATACATACGTAGCCAGACCATGCAAGCACAAAAGCCTTTAAAGCAATACACTTGTAATTTAATTTCAACAATCACAATAAAAATTAAAACAACAAATGGTGAGAACCGAACAACAGTATAATAGAAAGAATTTTCAAAATACTACACACAATAACCGTAGTGATTAAAACAGAAATATAATAGCAATAAAAATTACTAACATATGTAATTAAAAAACGTTTTTAGGAAATTCAAGCCATTAAATTAGCAACACTAAACACATAACAATGTTACCATATTCATAATGAATTTACCCAAGCTTTACCAATGAGATACACCAAACAGCTAAAATATAAATCAAAGTTCGGACTCTTTAAATAGGTTATTAAAAGATAATCATTTTCCTTGATATGAGTTTAAAGGAAACCTCTATTTCACCATCCCTATTACACAATAGGAGGAAAATACTTTTGTATTCACAATTGAATCTGGTAGCCTCAAAATTTATCACATATTAATTCACATCAGTCATAGCAAGTTTTGAAAACCAACTACAGCAATTATCATCACGCCAACAAAGTTAAAACTTTATTTTGGTGGATTGTTCTCCATAATTTCAATTCCCCACAAATAGTGACATTTTAAATGAAAGTTAATTGTAATTAGGCTTTTTAAAAAACATACCACAATTTTGCCATCAAATGGAAGCTAGAGTTTACACCGCTTGTCCCAAGGGGAGTTTCAGGCACGTTGACTATTTCGTAGGTGTAATCTTTATACGCCATAATTCCTTAGATTGTTGCCTCTATCCTTCCAAAATCAACGTGTTTACCGTGTTGCTCCCAAGCTGACCTCGTTGACCATCTAGCTCCCAGAATTGACCTGCAGAATAATCACTAAAAACAACTAAAAATACATTAGTGGCTCGAGACGCGTCAAACGCTGTCCTAAGGAATTATTTCCGGCGTACGGAAATTTCCCCCAAGATATAACGAGCCCTTCGGTACAAGACCGGTAACAGAACTAACGAGAAGAAAATTAGTATATGAACCCAATAATCATTTGAACAAAATATATAATCCGTGATATCTTCTTATATATAATATAAATCGAAGGGAGTCGGCCGAACTGCCAAGCATGGATATATATATATATGACTCCTTGATTATGCCCACCAGTGGAGCAACCAAGTGCACATGTAATCCTTTTAACATAATAAAATGTGAGTAGCTCTTAGTGAAATTTTTTTCTATGTTCTTGACCGCAGGAGAGTTCAAATATATACAAGTTGATAAAGTTGGCTTTCTCCAAAATAATGACTAAATTAATGGCCATTATTAAGAAAACGTTTTTAATCATTAAAGGAAATGTATAACGTTAAAAGCAATAATAATTTGTAGGTGAACAGCCATTTTGTAACAAGTTAAAATTATAGATTAAAATAGTCTTTTGAATCATCATTAAATTTTCACAAAATAATAATTAAAAGAACTTATTCATTTGAAATATTCAAAAATTTCCAACAACGGTATTTATTTATCGTTGATTATCTGGGCAACGGTTGACCCCGTTGATTTTATTTTTCTGTTCTCAACACAGCTCCATTAAGTTGTAAAAAACACTTAAATTACAAATTTTGTCAGTCAACATTCTCAACAACTAGTTTTCTAGTTACTTTCCTGTGGCTGTCCACTCCGAAATTTATCTAGAGGTGAATTAGGTTGTATGTGTCTAATAAATTTCACCTCTAGATAAATTTCAGAGCACTTGAGTCATTGTGTGTATATTTGAAATATGTACACATACACCTTAATTCAGTTATTTATCATGACAAAACAAAAAGGAACTGCCTTTATATTTAGTTAATGAAGTTTATTTACGGCCTGTTTGGATTGAGTGTTAGCGGGTGTTAGTAATGGAAGTGTTAGTAAGTGTTAGTAACGGCCTGGAAAGGAAGGTAAGTGTAAGTGTTAAACATAACCTTACCTTGTTTGGGAGAGCTAAAAAATTGAAGTGTTAGTAATGGAAGTGTTTTCACATAAATTGACAAAAATATCCTCAAATGTTAATAACTATAAGTCTATATATAATACGTAGTAATGCATTGTCCACGTAAATCCTCCAAAATTGCAATTGTTCTAACTCCAATCCATGAAATCAAATGGTAGTTGTTGTTCAACTTGAAAACTTTTCACGTCAAATGGTAAAAAAAATAAAAAAGAAAGTGCCAAAAATAAATTTTATACAATATGCTAAAATTAAAATATTCCACATATATATGATATATGTACATATATCCTACGTAAAGTGCTAAAAACGTGGATGGACACTACACATTAAACTAACCCCGCAACTTCTATAATTTATTGGAAAAAGTATCAAATAGGCCCCCTATTAATACGGAAAAGTCAGTTAAGCCCCCGAACTCAAAAAACACTCAATTAAACCCACGAACTATAATAAATTACGACCTTCGAAAAATGTGAAATATATGGGACCAAAAAATATGAGCAAAATTTGTTCCAAATCATCAAATAGTAATGCAACAGTTCCAAACCAAGCAAAAGTAATAGTTTCAAAGTGCATAAATTGTTTGAACGTTAAATTCAAAAATATAATGATAAAACGTCAATTCGCTAGCTCATGCCATCATGTCATGAAGAAGACTGCTCCGGCTTTCAACTGGACATCCAAGAAGAGCTCTCAGCATATCAGGCTTCTGAACAAGAAACAGATAGCATGCATTACGATGCTCAGCAGCAATATTTAAATCAACTAATAAATTCCAAACTTCACTTTCTGAGATTGGAAGAGTGGTCGCTTTAACGAGTTCAGATGTTGAAGTTGTGATAGCTTGAGCGACATTATCAAGTCCTTCTTTGAGAAGCACAACTTCTCCATCAACTTTAGCCTTCTTCTTCTTGGCTTTTCCCTTTGAGGATGCCTTGTCATGAGATATTGAGTGAGACCGCACAGTTTCTTCTTCATTTTGAGTAGGGACCCCTTGAGCTGTATTTCTATGTCCACTTTGTTGAGACGTAAAAGGGTTTTCCACATTAACATCACTTTCAAGTATTGAATCCAAATCATCAATATTATCCAATGATGTGTAAACTTCGCTCTCTTCATTAAAAGCATTTTTCCTTTTTCTCATTTCAGCTGCAGTTTCCGCAAGTAGCCCATCAGCTCTATCTTTCGCAAATAGCAAGCATAACTTGTGAAAGTTACGCATTTGCTTATTTTTCCATTCCGCAGCTTCTGGTTTCACCTAAAAAAAATATTTTTCACATAAACAACATATCCATACATACAAAACTTAAAAAATTACTTTTAATATACCTCAATCAAGCGTTGCCAAACTTCAGGTTCAGCAGTGAACATTTCCGTAGCATGATTCCAACCAAAGCCACTAGCACCATATTTGAATAAGTCGTAACATGGATACCAAATCCTTTTGATATTCTTCATCCGATTTTGAATCTTATCCTTGTCAATTGGTTTATCAGGAAACTTTTCTTTCAGTTCCTTAGGAAACTACAATGTCGCTCTTCCGGAGGATTGGCATTTTCAAGTGCCTCATCAACTCGTGCAATCACATCCTCATCTGGATCAACATCCATCTTGTAGTTGTGCAAAATAAAACATGCTAAAATAATCGCCTTTTGAGTTTCAACCCCATAGTGGGGGTGTTCACTTGCAATAATAGTCCAAACCATTTTTAGTACACCGAAGGCACGCTCAATCGCATTCCTTAACGCTGCATGTCGAAGATTGAATAGTTCCCGTGCGTTTCGTGGCGCGTTGCGGCGTGAGTACTCTTTCAAGTGATAACGTTGTCCTCGATATGGTGTTATAAGACAACGTTTCAACATGAATCCCGCATCAACAAGATAATATTTTCCTAAAACAATATAAATTGATCATATAAATTTTTTATATTTCAAAGTACTCAAAATACACTTACACAAAGTTATACTTTTTAATTAAATACCTTCCGGGACTTTTAGAGGATATTCTCTTGTTAATGCATCTTTGATTATTCTAGAGTCAGATGCCGTACCCTCCCATCCAGCTAACACATATGTGAATTTCAAATCAAATGAACATGCAGCCAAAACATTTACTGTAGGTTTATCTTTTCTACCACGATATCTAGGAGCTTGATTAGGAGACACTTTTACATGAATGTGTGTCCCATCAATAGCCCCAACACAATCCTGACATTGTAAATTAAATTGAGTAGTTTGATCTTGTAGTAGTGCTATATATAATAAATATTGTACAAATAAAATAAAAATCACCTTAAAAAAAGGATAGTATCGAGAGTTGTTGAATATTTCTTCAGGAACTTCAGATCCATTTGGTTGTATGAGAAATCTGTCTTCCACTTCTAATATAGCTCTCAAGACGTTATGAAAATGACGACTATTTGTTTCTTTAGACCGATCAAAAAAGAAACGTAACGACCGATTGGTCACACCATGTGCCAACACATATAGGGCTTTTGCTACCTGTTCTTCAACGCTAACTCGTATTGTGGGTCGAAGGCCGCCATATCTAACTAAGATATCACAAAGTCCCACGAATGCTTCTGCACTCAATCGTACAATACCAGGTCCTGAATCATGAGTCACAACCCTATCGAACAGTATAGTCCTTACCCTTTCTCCCTCCAATGACAGTACACGGTTCACGTTGTTACGTCTTCGCAATCCAACCCAATACATAACAATGCATATGACTTTCGCTATAGCTAAATGACGCATTCGAGTCAATTTATACAAATCTTTTACTTCGATCCTTCTACTGGTCATCCTTGATAAAAAAATATAATCATAAAACACACATGGATTAAAAACATATCAATAAAATAGAAAATATGATATCATTAAAAAAAATAGACAATATGATATTACTCCGTATTTATTTATATATAAGTTATTTTATCCTACCTACTCCGTATATCACCACACTCTCTATGCAATTGGTAAAGCTCTGTACAAACCAAGGAACATTGAATAAAGCTCTCCACCCATTGAATACTTTTCTGAGCCATAATACTTTTCTAATATACTGATTTTACATAAAGCTCCGTACAAAAACCAAGGATCTTTATCTCATCAATATACATGTATATATACATGCAAAGTACACGTTCGTGTGTATATATGTAGACACACAGAACAGAAGAGGAACAAGAACATAAACCTGGAGAATATATATGTATACATATACACACATATATAGCAAGGATTGAGTAAATAAATCAAGAGAAGAAGAGCAGACTTCGTTGGAATCAAAAAAAGATGAAGAAGAATAGAGGAAAAGAGAACACATACCTGGAAAACGAAGAAGCTCGAAGACGAGTTGCAGCTCTGTGAGGCGAACCGACTCTTTATCTGCTGCGGAAGAAGAATGGGCAGAGAACGTTGGGTATAAAGTTGTGAATTTTATTTTTGAAATAATAAGGGCAAAAGTTGTCCAACACTTCATTACACTCCAAATTGGAGTGTTTAAAAAGTGGTAAATGTAGGGGTTAGGAAGGTTAAGATTAACACTCTCAAACACTTACTAATACCCCTAAAATAATTTAGTTTTTCTCCCAAACAAGTGTTAGACTGAACACTCCTTAACACTTCCATTACTAACACTCCTTAACACCCAATCCAAACAGGCTGTTAGTGTATGAACTTACACTATCCTTCCCCACTTTTGTTGGACATGTTCAGGCTTCTTTTATAGAAAACCTTAATTTCACCAATACAATCAAAACTATCTGAAATGCATTTGAACTATCTGATGAACTTGAATTGTAAAATTGATCTTGAGTAACTTAATATATTAATACAATATATTCCATCCACACTTGTGTTTGACATGTTTTGGACTCTATTTAATTATAGAAAATCCTACATTCACTCTTAAAATGACAACTATCTAAAATGTAATTGGACTAATATATGTAAAATTGATAATACGTTACTTAATATATCAATACAATAATATGGATATCCACATTGTGTTTGACATATTTCAGACTCTATACTTTTAAAACCCTAATTTCACCAAATAAGGTCACAACTATCTTCAGTGCAATTGGACTATATGATGATTGTGAATTGTGAAATTGATAATTAGTTAGTTAATAAATCATTACAATATGAATATACACATTTTTTGACATGGTTTAGGCTTCGATCATATAGAATCCTAATTCAACCCAATAAAGTCAGAATTTTCCAAAATGCAATTGGACTGTGTGGTGAACTCGAATTGTAAAATTGATCATGATTTACTTCATATAGATACCGATACAATGTGAATATTTAGACACATGTTTTCCAGGTTAGTTAATAAATCATTACAATATGAATATACACATTTGTGTAAAATTGTGTAAAATTGATCATTAGTTACTTCAAATAGGTGGTCTTGTCGGGTGAAATTAAGGTTTTCTATCAACGGAGGCTAAAACATGTCAAACACAAGTGTAAATGTTCATATTGTATCGATATATGAAGTAAATGATGATCAATTTTACAATTCGAATTCACCATATGGTCCAATTAGATTTTGAATAATTGTGGTCTTATTGGGTGAAATTAGGGTTTTCTATCAACATAGGCTAAAATATGTCAAACACAAGTGAAAATATTCCTATTGTATCAATATATGAAGAATCACAAAGTGCAAAAGTTCATAATGTATTTATATAATCCTTATTAAGTAAATAATGATCAATATTACAATTCGAGTTCACCCTTTAGTCTAATTGCATTTGAAATATGTTGTGGCATTATTGGGTGGAATTAGGGTTTTCTATGAGCAGAAACTAAAACATGCCAATCACAAGTGCAAATGTTCATATTCTATCAATATATGAAGTAACTCATGATTAATTTTACAATTCGCTTTCACCATGTAGTACAATTGTATTTCAGATAGATGTAAGCTTATTGATTGTAATTAGAGTTTTCTATGAGCAAGGTCTACAAAGTGTCAAACACAAGTGTAAATATTTATATTGTATCGATATATCAAGTAAATCTTGATCAATTTAATAATTCGGGTTTATCATATAGCCTATTTGCATTTCAGATAATTGTGGCTTTATTGAATGAAATTACGGTTTTCTATAAGTGGAACGTAATACATGTCAATCACAAGTGTAAATAATCCTATTGTATCAATATATTAAGTAAATCATGATGAACTTTACAATTCGGGTTCATCGGAGAGTCCAATTGCATTTTGGTTAGTTGTTCAAGTAGGGTATTCATACTTTTCCTATTTGACCATGAACCAAACTTGATAAGGATTAATTGGGCTCTATTGATTTCGACCGGGGTCGACCAGGTTCGACCTCTTTGAGTACTTGACCTAAAGTACTATTCTGTCAAAATGTAAAAAAACTGTTACACATCAATCAACATCACAACATGCAAAACGCATATATTATCTCTCAAATTTAAAATGTGATATAATAAATGAGTTGATACATCATTCCAAAGTTTCATATATTTGGCTCAATATGTGCCATCAATAATTTTGAGCAATTAATTTTTGACCTTATTTCCATCATTTGCAATGGAGTCAAAGATTCACTATTTTTGACTTGAGAATATGATGGAATAAAGTAAAATGGCTCACTAAACTATCTGCGCTTCTTTGTTATGAAGCAGCAGTTAGTCCATGCAATTTTGGATGGATTTTCACTATGGGTCATCCGGAAACAGTCTCTCTATGCTTTAGTACAAAGGTAAGTCTGCGTACATCCAACCCCCCTTACCCCACCATATGTGAAAGTCTTTGCGACACTGGGGTAAATGATGATGATGAATTGATTTTTGACCTCAGGATATATAATGATCTTCACATTTGGATTCACAATGACGACTGATGAGTGTAATGTTAATCATAGAAGATATGGATGGAACTTGAAAGAAATAAAGTATGAATAAGTTTCTAGAAATTACTTCAAATATGACTAAAACTATGACAAAAGCTCAAAATAGGACTTGCTATATTTTTTATTTCAAAATAGGACCATAGTGGTCCTATTGGAAACATACCCATTTCTTCCTTCCATTCTTACCCCTCCTTTAAATATTAGTAAAAGATAGCTAAAAGTCATAATTAAATGTTTAATTCATAATAAATTGGAAAAAATTTCAATAATTCGTAGAAAAATAATAAAAAAATTAATAAAATTTTTATAAAATAAAAAATAAGAATTTTTTTTAATTTTTTTTTTAAAATTAATAAAAAAAAGTAAAACTCCATAAAAAATTAAAAAAAATATGGATACCTTTCCCACCGCCTGTACTACCTCCCTGAACCACCACCTCCAATCGGTGTAAAAAATGCCACTTTTTTTTAAATTTCACAAAAATGGCATATTTCTCTATGAGAAAGCCAACATTTTCATTCTGTCAACTTGAATCCTTTTGACTTTTGCCAAAAATATGGCATTCATAATTTTTTTGGCATTTTTTACCCCGGTGACAGGAGGTGGTGGTACCGCCTCCCTGCACCACCACCTCCGACCGTTAAAAAAAATGCCATATTTCTTACAAACTTCCATTTTTTTTTCGGAAAATGCCAAAAATATGGCATATTTCGCTTTGACAATGCCAACATTTATTTTCTTCCATCTTAAATCATTCTGAATTATGTCAAAAATATGGAATTCAGAATAAATTTGGCATTTTTCCTTAAATGACTAGAGGTGGTGGTGCTGGGACGGCAGAGGCGGCGTTGACAAAAAAAAAATTGATTTTTTTTTTAATTTTTTTTTTAATTTTTTTTTTATTTTTTTTAAATTTATTTTTTAAAATTTATTATTATTCAAAATATTTTTATTAATTTTTTGGTATATTTTACGAATTTTTATTATTTTTTATTATTTTATTATGAATTAAAACATTCCAATAGGTATAAGGGTATATTTGTCCAAGACACACATAATTAGTCCTATAGAAACATAGTTTATTTTTTGGTCCTATTTGTGCAAAGTGAATGACTTTTAATCCTATTTTGATTCCTAACATAATCAGTCGTCAAACATGATCAAACATGATCAAACAGAGTCGAACTAGTTCAAACTAGTCAGTAGAACAAGGTCAATGATGTTCAAACTCAATATAGTAAAATAAACTAGTAGTAGATGATCAGAACTGGTCAATTCAAATAGAGTTTCAAAGTCCAAGAATGCGGTCAAACATGGTAGAGCAAGGTCAAACACGTTCAAATTTCAAACTCGCCTTTTAATATAGTAAATAATACGATCAAACTTGTTCAAGTACGGTAGAACACGATCAAACAAGTCCAAAGTGTATTAAGTGTATTAGCTTATCTTTTAGTTTGTTCAGATACTGTTAGACAGTTAGATAGATAGCTTACTATCCCTGTACTATAAATACTTGTTGTGCAAGCTTTATAAAAGATAAGTTGTGCTATTCTATATGTATCTTCACGTGAGCTACTCCTGGGACTACATGAAGTGCCGCTTTAGTTAATAAAGTGAGAACAAAAAGCATATAATTACCTTAATTTCATTGTTTGTAGTATGAGGGTTCTACTTTCGAGGATCTTCTACAGGATTATCTGGTCGAATTTCCTTGTTTTGCTCTACACTCACTTCATTAGAGGATTTTTAGTGGGACATGCAATTTTTTTTAAAATTTTATCAACCTACACCGACGTTCAGACTTATCTAATTCAACTCTTGAAATGGTCGTGTTCATCTATGTTGTACGGACACGGATACGCCGAGACGCCGATACGCAAATACGGGTACGGCGATACGACAATTTATAAAGGGTACGCATCGGGGTATCAATATCGGATACGCGGATACGGCATGGGAGTGAAGTATAGGTGCATAGGTGTTCATGACCTTCAAGATGGTGAATGTGGCGGGAAGCAGCATGAACACTTGAGTTAAAATATTATTCGAAAGAAGAGAAAGAGTGATAGGTTGGAATGAATGAAGAAGGGTGATGGGCTAGAATGCACGACATTGGACAATTCGAAGGTGGTATTCAAATTCACTCTCTTATTATAAACTAAACGACATCATATGTAGGTTTTTAGGTTCTTCGCCTTCGAGCTTTCTTCCCCCAGATAATCACAAAGCCCAAAGGCGTTTAATTTAGGCGACCTGAAAAGCAGATAATCACCGAGCTTAAGAGAATCCCTTTACCATATGAAGAAGAAACTGGTTGTCGTTAGCTACGCGGCTTGCGCCTCCATTCTCGGAGATTATATGTCTGCGTGTATATTAGATCTAGAATGTCGTCCAGATTCGGGTGATTCAAACGGTAATCCTCTTCGTCGTGTCCCTCTTATTCAAATCGGCGGTATCGATGATATGGACCAGGAGTGGGGGTATTGCGTTTTAGATTCCATCCTCTATATGAGTGGAGAAAAGAAGTCCGTATATAAAGTAGATCTATCAAAACTGTCTACCTGCACGAGTGAAACTGGTAATTACAGGGCAGAGAAGATGCACGCTGAAATGCTAAGCGAGAAAAAAAGTCCTGTTGCTACGGCAATCTCAATGCCTGACGGCAGTGAAAGAGTTCTGGTCTTTTCAACCCGCGACCTTTGTGCGGACCCTTCTATTAGAAAGACTACTGATTTTGAAATTTATGATCCAAACTCTGGAATTTGGGTTGGCCTCCCAGGAAGCGACATATGGGGGGATGATGCGGCTGTTTGGTTTGATATCGTAGCATTCACTGTTCCCAAGAACAAGTCTCTCTTGCTCATCCAAACCTACTCTGATGACTCTTCAATCTATGCCCTTGATTTCCTGTCCCCCCATGTAGGCTGGCAAAAAAGGGAAACCTACTTAGGTGTTAAAAGTATTCCATTTGATAATTCGCCACACTCTCTCTTTGTGGATGATGAAATATGTTTGACTGGTTATGGTGCATATGATATTTTGGAAAAGGCTCCTGGCACAGGCTTGTCTCATGTCATGCTCTATCGCAGGATGGGTACCTATGGTAAAAACCCGAGTAGATTTTTCTCTTTTCCACAACAACAACTGCTGGAACATTCACCTGAGTGGTGTTTTTATAAATCAATATCACCTCTTGTAACCCTACTTGGCTATGATTCCAATAGTGGAGATTGCGAGTTCTGTGTTGTTCATCTGGGGCTAAATAGATTTGACAGTTCAGCTTGGATACAACAATTTGTTTACAAGTTTAATCTGAAGGAGTACAGAGCAGAGAAGAGGGAGAAGAAGGGGGCGGGAGGAGAAGCTGCCAAGCTCCGTATACACATTCTCAAGCATTCTTCATTTCAGGCAGTCCCTGCCCCGTGCATCTATTTCGATGCATTATATCTGAATTCCTTTTAGCTCGGCCTGATGCATTCTCTTGCCTTTCATCTGGTTGAATAACACTCCTTGTTATCTAGCAGTTTGGTTACCTTCTAATTTGCTATTCATGACCTTAGGTAGCATGCAATTGTTTTTTGTTCATCAGCTTTGTCCGTGGTCCAACACTTTTTTTCCCTACTTTCTCCTGAGCTAACTTATGGTTGGAAATTTTGCGGTTTGCATGTCTTTTTTTCTTGATTTGGTTTTCCAAGTTGTAGATTGTCATTTTAGGTTCCCCAACACTAACACAAATTTTCTTTATTATCAAAACGCGTTTCCCCCCCCCCCCCCCAACACCCCCATAATCCAAGAAGCCTTGTTCTGCTCTTTTATTTTGCATTCTTGGTTGCATCACGTTGGGGTTCCTACAGAGGTGGCGAAGGACTTCGTTCTCAAATCTCAAGTAAACTTCACTTTAATTACGACATCAGGGTTGGTTGGTATGGTAGCTGTTTCTATTCTTACGAACAGTTCTTTAAGTTGATTTTCGGGAACAATGATTAGCATTTTCTGTTGCTATTTCTTACTCCTACCGTTTATAGATGTCCTGAATACATTTAGATTGCTGTCTACCATCAATGCCCACATGATGGGATGACATAACAAAAAATATGCTGTAGAATTTCCCAGTTTATTCATTGATCTGTGAGTTCAGGTTCTGTTATTTTTCAGAAAGTAATCATTATCGCATAAGAAATATATTCAAGTTTTGAACTTTGCTTTTTTAGCTTCTTGTTTGGTTGTGAAAACTTCTTTCCAGTTAGTTATTTAACTTTTTATCAGTCTTATACTCGGGTGCAAGAAAGAGTGTAGCTTGGGGCGTTCACACGGATACGGGATGCCAATAAAACATATGAAGTCCTGTGACAAAGGCAAAACAACAACCAACGGTGGCGGAAATCCCAATTGATATTTATTAGAAAATGTATTTCGTATTGTTATTTTTTCTCAATTCTCAAATGTAGTTCCTATTTCAAATAAATGCACATGAACTTTGTTTTTAATAGGAATTTGTATAATATATAATTATTTAAAAAAAAATTGAACCGGCCCGGCCCGACCTATACCAGACCCGAGGCCCGACCGGGCCTTGGCCCGGCCCGGGTCCATCACTATCATGAACCAGATGGCACATTCTTTTGGAGTGTGAAACAAGTTGAAGTGAAGACAGATCCTGAAGTATTTCCTAATGCAGCTACCTAGAGGAGAGCCATAAAAAATTTTGGGGAAAACTGTCAAATAAGACCATTTACTTTTCAAAAAAATCAATTAAACCCCTCTACCTAAAATTCATTCAATCAAACCCTCAAACTTATTAAAAAATGACAAATCACTCTTTTTTACCGGTAATGCACCGAGTTACCGGCTACTGTATACATGGCAGTCTTTTAGTTTTCGTATTTCCTTTTTTCTTTTTCTTTCTTTTTCTTTTGCTTTTGCTTCCTTCGGATCTCCCCCCTTCTCGCATACCAGGTGGATGCACCACAGACCAGATGCGTAACTAGCCATGGATGCACCACCGTGGCTGAGCAGATGGATGCACCACCGTATCTGACCCACGGAAGTTCTCATCAACGACGCTATTTCGCTGGCCCATCCCCGGTGACGCGCTCTCCCCTCCAAGTTGTCAAGCAACGCCTTCGTAGATACATTTCGGAGCCCCGAAAAATCGTCGGTTGCCATCAATGTTGGAATCTCAAATTGAAGACGGGTCTCCAAGCTTCAACTATCGGAATTTAAGATGGGAAACCCAAGTTAAATCCAGGGTTAAAAATCATCTAAATTGATTATATGCTTGCGTTGGGGAAGTTCTGGGCGATTTATCTCCCCCGGGATATGACCCGTACTAAAAGTGTTTTGACAAAAAGAAACAAAATCATCTACAATTATATCCCAATCATATAGCAATAATATTTGGTATGAGTAAACTAGACTTAATGAATAAGATTCTCAAGAAATTTTATTAAAAAAATTCACCGGAAACCGTGACAAATAGCGTCGGCCGGACAGAACTCCTGTATAAGGCCAACCTTTTAAGTTTGAAGTTGGAGGCCTATTGGACCTTTTTCCGATTAAAATTTCAATTTTCAAACGCTACAGGGTAACTGGGTGAATCCATGGTTAGTTTTTTGGAGAGGCCTATTGGACCTTTTTCCGATTAAAATTTCAATTTCAATTTTCAATTTTCGAAGGCCACACAATTATCTGCTGCCTTTTTTATTCGCATTCTTGTATCCATTGTATCACGTTAGCGGTTCCTACAGAGGTTGCGAAGATCTTCGTTCTCAAGTAAACTTCACTATAATTACGACATCAGGGTTGGTTGGTGATTTGGTGTGTTGCTGATTCTATTCTTGTGTGTTATCGGGAACAATGATTAGCATTTTCTGTTGCTAATTCTTACTCTTTCTAGGCTGCTACCGTAAGAAATATTTCCAAGTTTCAAACTTTGCTTCTTCTTTTTGCCTCTTGTTTGGTTTTGAAAACTTCTTTCCAGTCAGTTGTATAACTTTTTATCAGTCTTAGACACTAAAGAATTTAAAGCTGAATTATATGTGCAGTTTGGGGGATAAACATCATGTTACATGTTTAACTGCTTGGTGTGAATTGCATGTGGTAATGACAACTGTATAGTTGTTTACGTAAAACTTTCTTGATACTTCAGGTACTGGAGATTAGTACTTTTATGTTTGAAGTGAAGTAAGAAGTGCAATTGCACTATTTCAGAGAATGCCTCTGAAAAAGAAATACAGTGGCACTCCAGTGAGAAGTAATTATCATCAAGATATCATCAGCAACCTCCCCCAGAACCTAAGGGAAACCATCTTAACTTACCTGCCACTTCAAGATGCTGTAAGGACGAGCGTGCTATCAAGTGAGTGGAGGTACACATGGACTAAAGTTCCACGTCTTTGTTTTGATGAGACGATCTGTCCGGGATCAAGTGGGGGTGACCAATGGGAGTTTCAAAATAAATATGTTAGGCGCATACTCCATGTTTTGCTGCAACATGAAGGTCCTATAACCACGTTTGAGCTTGCAATTCCTGAGATGGAAATCTTCCCTGAGATGGACAGTTTGATGTTGTTCTTGTCCAAAAGTGATGTTGAGAGTCTCGCACTTATGTTTAAATCTGGCCATTACAAACTTCCTTCAACATTTTTCAAGTGTCAGAGATTAAAATCTTTGTACCTTATGTCCTGTTTGGTTCATCCACCTTCTGACTTCATTGGATTTAGTCAGCTTCTCACCATTGACATGTTCGATGTAGACATTGGTTCAAAACCACTTGAAAGCATCATTGCTTGTTGCCCCCTACTTGAATGCTTGAAGCTAGATATGTCATCCATATATGATATATGAATCCCTTGAGATTCAGGCTCCTAGACTTCATTACTTTAAATTTAGAAGTAAAGTGAAATGCGTTTATTTCAAGAACACCCCACTTCTCAAGAAGGTTGTAATTTTTAACGATTCACATATTCAAACAGAGGAAGAAAGTGCTTTACAAATGGAGTCTAATCTTATTGAGCTTTTTAGATCTCTGCCAGCGCTTAGAGTTCTACATTTTGACAATCACTTCATTCAGGTATGAGTGATTAGACATTTATTTTTTATAGAAGTACTGGAAGTGTGATATGGTGCATTTGCGCTTATTGGTTTGTGTTGGGCACTTGGGCCATTAGAATGAGAATATGTCCAACTGACGTTAAGTGTTTCTGATAGTGTCAAGATGGCTATTTTTTGCTAATAATTTTCCCCATTTGGATCATATGTGGCATGACTGGATGTGGTAACTATTATTGTTAATACTTGATGCACTACCAGTTCCACTGTTACAACCACAAAAACATGCCAGCCACCAGCAACAACAGTTGCTGGCAATTGCCAGTCACCAACCACAAGTTATTTTCATTCTTATATATAGTTGAATCAAATTGTGACGAAAGTCTATTGCCTCCATTGTGCCAGTTGCCATTGTCAGTCACTGTTTTTTGGCATATTTATGCATCTAAATTTAACTCTGGGAGAAAATTAACAATTACGTTAAGAAATTATTCTGTATTAAAACTTTCAAGTACAACACTAATAATCTATTTTTATTAGTTTAGTAATTTGTATACATCATATCTTTTTGCCCAAAGTTAGTAAACTGTATAATATAAAGTTTTACATCATCGTAGATAAAGATTTTTTATACATCAATGCGTATAAAATTTATATGCATTAATGAATAAAAAATAGTCATCTATGACAACCTCGAAGTTAATACATCTTCGTCTAGGATTGATTTATCAATACATTGGTATTCAAAAATAACAATTTTAAAAACCTGTGGCAAGTGACAGGCAGTGGACAACTGCAGTTCCTCCGATTGCTACTATGGAAACGGTTGTGCATGAGTGATAACGTTCACTATACTAGTGCCACATTAGATTCAAATAGCAAAAAGATCATGTCAGCAAAAAGTACAAACGTGCCCTACCACAAAGTACCTTTGTATACTCTTAATTTTACGTCAAACTAACATGTTATATGAGTTTTGGAGACTGATACAGAACTGTGCTTTCTTTGCAAAAATTGAAGTTCTTAGCTGCAAGTGGAGTCCTAAAAAGACCTAGTCTAACTGCTGTGCACCTTAATTCTCTTAAACTTCGGAGAATATGTTTAGAAAAAATGAGGGAGATGTCGTGTGTACTATTCATTGTTAGAATATCACCAAACTTGGAAGACATCATCATTCGAGTGAGTTGTCTTTCATATGTCTGCAGTTTGCTTATATTTATTATGTTGTTAAATTCATTCTGGTATTCACATTTGGTTGGCTTCTTATATGTGCTAATAATCATTTATCCATCTTTTAGCTATTTAATTCTACTGGTGCTGCTGACCTAAATCCTTCTCTCGAGTCACTGGATGTTGAAGAATACTCAGATGTGAAACTAGATCAGCCGAGGAGGGTGAAGTTGGAAGGTTTTACTGGTACAAGGAACCAAATGGCACTTGCAAAGCTTCTTTTAACTAAATCTCCAGGGCTTATGAAAATGATAATCAAACCCAATGCCGAAGGATGCGATGAAAGACAAGGGTTTCTGATATTAAAAGAGCTTATACGACTGCAGCGACCATCAACAGTTGCAGAGATTATCTATGGATAGGTGAGGCAATAGTCTTTATTTTCTTTCACTATGGATGCCACTGCTTGCATTTGTATGTGATCTTACATTTATTTTTGTGTGCATTGTTATTTGCAAGACTATAAAGTGCAAGCACTTTTCTATCATTTTAGAAGCACAACCACAAAACTACATGAGATGGTAAGTTATAAATTTCTAAAGAATTATTTTCTACTATTGTACACACTTTTATTATGCTCAAAACTCATTTTCGGTCAACGGCTCTCAATTGTTCTACTTTTGGAGCATGACTATGGTCTTCTCATATTCGGTTCTGCTGGATGATTTTTGCCTAAGTGACCAGAAATACCCAAAATGGTTAGAAATCTTCCATAGTCATGGGTGGAAAAGTGAAAGTTCACAACCAAAAATTGGGGCTGACCTAATAATCATATGCACCAAAGTGGAACACTTTTGCCGTTATTACCGAAACCAATTGTTGCATACCATGAATGTAAAGATCAATGAGCTATAATGAGGCAGGGATATTTATAACAATGTTTACTGCAAGTGATTGATAATTTGTGTGGGCGTTCACATGGTTGGTTAAACTGTGAATACTTTTAACATGCTGAAAGAAGATTAAGCCTTGTTATTCTTGTGTAAATTGATGATGTGTATGATAATATTTGGATGAACCCCTTTGCAGGTGTCAATATGACGAGTTCAGACTTCAGAGAATGTGCTAATGAAGAATGATTGATAACTTTGTATATTATAGTTATTTCTCAAAGCCAGCTGCATGTTATAATGTCTTTAAACCTTCTTTTGATATTTTCGAGTTGTATTTTGCTGATTTGGGTGAACTCAATTTAGTTAAACTCATTGTTCTAGCAAATTTATTAACTTTGACCTTTTAATTTAGGATACACACACGTGTGTGTGTACACACATGCATAAATACACACATGTATGTATATAAATACATGTGTGTATTTATATACACACATGTAGTTAAACTCATTGTTCTAGCACTCAAATAAATACATGTGTGTATTTATATACACTATGATTGTGAATAGTTTTTGGGCCAAATAACCGATTGTGCATATTGGGGCTATTTAATTATGTGCAACCCTTCTATGGAGAAATCCATTGAGTTAGGTGACATGTTGGAAAATAGGGAACATATATACCTTATTTTAAAAAATAATAGAAAAACTAATACTACCTAAAAAGAAAGCTGCATGGATAAAAGCCCAGTTTGGCAGTTTCCTAAATTAAAAGGTCTAAGTTAATAAATTTGCTAGAACAATGAGTTTAACTAAATTTGCTAGAACAATGAGTTTAATTAATTAAACTCAAATTAATTAGGATACACAAATTTATTAACTTTGATGAAACTACATGCATAAATACACACATGTAGTTAAACTCATTGTTCTAGCAAATTTATTAACTTTGACCTTTTAATTTAGGATACAGACACATGCATAAATACACACATGTATTTAAGACTCACCCACTCAAAACTACTCCCTCCGTCCCCTTTTAAATGTCCCGTTTTACCATATTGGGATGTCCCTATTTAATTGTCTCATACCTTATTTGGTAAACTTTGTGTGGCTCAAAATCATTCTTACTTTATCAATTAATATCAACCACACAAACTCGCTTTTTTAAAAAACCGTGCCACCATCTCCCGTCCCATTTAAAAGGGGACGGAGGGAGTATATTTTAAAGAAGCGGTCATACATGAGAGACCCTATGCACTCTTCCTTTCTTTTCTTTTTTAATTTCCCGGATGCTCAAAAACTCAATCTGACAATATCACTTTGTATTATCCTTACTCACTTTTTCTATATGAGAATATTTCACTCTACCTAACTTAATCACATACACTTCACCAAATGATATCTTTGAGTCTTCTTCTCTCACAAGAATGCTCTTACTCTACTCTTTCAAGAAGACTATCACTTTCACTCACTCAAGAGTTGTCATCAAAGTTCTCATATAAAGCGGAAGCTTCTCTAGAATTTTTTTATACACCACTACACATGTAGATTCTTCCAAAAAGTATCCACTAGCTCCTCTTATCATTTGAAAGGATTTATCCACAATTCTTCAAAATGTTCTAGAGGTTTCCACACACTTCCACATGATTTTAGCGAGTTCCACACTTCTCTAGAAAACTACACATTATTATTATAGAACATTCAATACTTCTCCACACACATATATAGAATCTTGGACATCTCTAAAAATTCTAAAATTCTCATGAATTTCTTCACTAAGGAGGGAATCCAACATAGTCTCGAGAATGTTTTGATCTTTTTGTTACAAGAAATGTGACAACATATTCGTCAAACTCAACACTTTCTTGCTCACTGTAACCACGAAAAGCCAACTCGTATGTCATTAAATTTCTGAAGCAATCCACACTTGCATTCAAATGAATGTGGTATGTTGCAGCCAATACTTGTATTACAATAGACACATACATTTCCTGAAAGACTTTGCCTTTTATTTTAACACTTAAGCTAAAATTATCCTAATTGGTATTTATATTTGAAAAAAGGAGGGGTGTTAAATATACAATAACTTGTAGTACATTAACAATTTGCCCGAAGCGGGGCGCTTGCCCCTTCATGCCCCTCCCTAGCTCCTCTCCACTGATGATATGTATATGCATGTGTATAGCAAACATTTGCAAACTCGAAGATTTTTTTAAGGCTAAAGGGTCAAATAGGTACATGAACTAACCTAAAGTGTTCAATTAGCCCCTTATATAGGAGTTTCTGCCCGGACGTCGCCAATTGGGGCGGTTCCCGGTGGAATTTTTTGATGAATTTTTTTGAACATCTTCTTCATTAAGTCTAGTGTACCCAGACCAAATTTCAGCTAAAAATTCAATCGGGAAGGCAGTCGAATGATTTTATGAAAAATTAAACAGCGCAGTACATTTCGGAAAATAATTCGACCGCCTTCCCGGTTGAATTTTTAGCTGAAATTTGGTATGAGTAAACTAGACTTAATGAAGAAGATGCTCAAAAAATTTCATCAAAAAATTCCACCGGGAACCGCCCCAATTGGCGACGTCCGGGCAGAAACTCCTTTATAAGGGGTTAATTGAACACTTTAAGTTAGTTCATGTACCTATTTGACCCTTTAGCCTTTTTTTTAATAGGACACTCTCAAAGGGTGGAGGTGGGCTGATTCTAGTCTAGTACCTGACCAAAGTGACTAGGAATTTGTGAAATTGTGTGTCCAGTTTATAACTTCGCCTGTTGGCCAATGAAATTGTATATCCGGTTAGGGAGTAGGATGCAACTGTTCCATCTTTAAATGTGTGTCAGCATATATATGTAATCCAATTAAAGATTTAAATGTACTATTTTGCTCAACCTATATCTGTGGATAGCACGGAGCATAATACAAGAAATAATTATACTAATAGTAATACCAATAGTATTAGTAAATGCAAGACTGTAATTAAGTTTCTTGATTAATATAGCGTGAACTGTGAACATGAACTGGTCCAAAGTCTAGCAACTTCAACCTATTACTAAGGACAAACTATTACTCATCTGGGGCCGCTGGCAATTATAGGACGTGATCCGGGAGGAAAACTTGATTTGTGGAAAGTATTGGAATTGCTGATTGATAGAACATTGGCAGTAATCAAGTAAAACAACAATTTTATGGAAAATATATGAAGAACAAATTGAAAAGTGTTTGTTGAAATAGGGAGGACATCACAATAGGTATACAATGCAAATGGGAGTGTTCGAGAAGCCCACTCTCCAAGTCAACTCCTAACAGAATAACAACCTGCCTTAATTAGCTCACACCCTCCTATTTATAGTAATAACCCACGCAAGGGTACACTGACAGAACTAAATATTTAATTCATAATAGAGTCCTTAATTCTTCTCTTGTAGACTTTGTTAAAGTATTGAATAGGCTGCTGTTGCACCTTGTGCCTATCAATACTCCCTCCCTGAAAATTCACCTTGTCTCCAAGGTGAAAGTCTGGAAATTGTTCTGTCAGTGATTGCAGTGATTCCCAAGAATCCTCAAACCTCGGTATCAGCACTTCAATCTTCCCTTTGTTCACTTTGGAGTCTACAACTCCTTCAGGTATTATCTGTAATTCCCATTCTTCATTGAGGCATTTGGGTAGGGGCTGGAAATCAGTTGTAGATGATGAAGTGATATAGCCTTCTTCAGTAGTGAAATATGAAACACTGGATGCACTTTGCTCTCTTCTATCAACTTCTGCCTCCCCTTCAGCCCATTCTAAACTCCTTTTACCTTGAAAGACCTCATAAAAGGTACTGTTCCTTGCTCATCAGGGAGAGTTGCATAGATTTGGATTCCATTACAATCTCTTCTTCTCGAATTACCACTTCTGCATTTTCTGATTCCTCTTCTAAATCTTCTACAAGTATTAACTTGTAATTTAACAGTTTACACGTATGTTCCTTGCTCCATTTCTCACCACATTTGAAACAAAGTCCCTTTCTGCTCCTTTCCTGATATTCTTCTTGTAAGAGTTGTGGTCCCACCCTTTTCATATCAGAGGGATTTATTTCAGTTATTTTCTTCCCCATAGGATTAAAAAGTAGGATTGCTCTTAGTCTCAGTTGTACTCTTCCCAGTATTATTGGACCAAGAGTTTCCTAGTTTTGATTTAAATCCATCTACCCATATCAGAGATTTTGTAGTTGTAGGTCCCTTCTCCTTACATGATAACCTGTCCTCCTCCTTTCTTCTCAGATAAACAGCTTCATTTCTACTCTCAATCAATAGAGCTTTGTCCATAATTTCAACTAATGAATTGCAATTATGTAGTTTTAACTCAGCTTTTATCGCATCCTTCAAACCATGGGTAAATATCCCTCTCAGAATCCCCATGTCCACATTAATCTGAGGTGCTATGACCCTTTCAAACTTATCCCTGAATTCTTTCACTGTTTCAGTCTGTTTCAAGCTAAGCATCTGATGTTCCCACCAAATGTTCCAATTAATAGCCCCTTCCAAATGTTCCAATTAATAGCCCCTTCCAAATGTTCCACCTGTTCCTCTTCATTGATGTGATTCAGACGGAAATATCTCTTCATCCTCGCAATCCAATTATAAGCACCCTCTCCAGTAAAAACAGGTAAATCATTTTTTCTACCAGTTTGAGTTGTAAACCATTATTATCCTCTTATCCTGTGTGATTTTGGATGCGAGTGCGATTGGGATGACCTCCAAATGTCATCGGATTGTTTGATTGCACATGATGCCGATGTTGAGATCGCGATCTCTCCCTGGACCAAAGTTGCAAGTTCATTCATCACGGCCATGGATGCCGCCATGTTTGCCGCCAAATTTATCATTGCAGTACGGTGATCATTCATCAATGATTGTTAATCCTCCTGCACCTCCAACAATTTTCGCCCCTGCACTTCCCGCATCTCCATCAGATTTCGCTCCAGAATATCCATGCAAATCTCCATTTTTGCCTTCATTCTGACCATTCACCACTGAAACCAGAGTTTTGCTGAAGTCACCACTCAATTCCGATCACCAGGAGCGAGTGCTCTGGTACCAATGATAAAACACTGGCGGTAATCAAGTATAACAACTGGGATTGTTTTATAACACAATAGGTATACAATGTAAATGGGATTGTTCGAGAAGCCCACTCTCCAAGCCAACTCCTAGAATAACAGCCTACCTTAATTAGTTAATTAGCTCACACCCTCCTATTTATAGTAATAACCCACGCAGGGGTAAACTAACAGAACTAAATATTTAATTCATAATAGACTCCTTATTTCTCCTCTTGTAGACTTTGTTAAAGTATTGAATAGGCTGCTGCTGCACCTTATGCCTATCACAGCTGCTACCTTTGATCGGTGAAGAAGCCATCATTCTTCTCTTCTTCTTGTCAACAGCGCTCTCACACTGTGTTCCTCTCAAAGCAGCCATTAATTGATTGGCTCTGGAGCCAGGCATTATCTTCCTAACTTGCAAAGCGGACTCCTTTCTCTTCTTATCCGTCTCTAGGTTCTGCTGCACCTTATGCCTATCACTGCTGCTACCTTTGATCGGTGAAGAAGCCATCATTCTTCTCTTCTTCTTGTCAACAGCGCTCTCACTCTGTGTTCCTCTCAAAGCAGCCATTAATTGATTGGCTCTGGAGCCAGGCATTATCTTCCTAACTTGCAAAGCGGACTCCTTTCTCTTCTTATCCGTCTCTAGGTTCTGCTGCACCTTATGCCTATCACTGCTGCTACCTTTGATCGGTGAAGAAGCCATCATTCTTCTCTTCTTCTTGTCAACAGCGCTCTCACTCTGTGTTCCTCTCAAAGCAGCCATTATTTGATAGGCTCTTGAGCCATGCATTCTCTTCCTAACTGGCAAAGCTGCCTCCTTTCTCTTCTTATCCGTCTCTGGGTTCTTCTGCAATTCTCTTTTTTGACAAGAAACTGGATCCACCAACGCCAGATGTGCACGTGGAATTGAATGTACATCATCTGCAATGCAAATACAATAGTCATGTATTACTTTTTATGCTCCTCCTTATCAATTATACAATTAAATCTACTCTTAAAAAACATGCATTTTCTGAAGTAAGTTCTTGATGGGCTGAATTTTATGAAGATAAAAGTTCTAACTTTTTTCACCACGACTTACTCCTTTGTTTTATTAATAAATAAAATACATAGTACACGTTTTGTATATATTCATTCAAAATTTAACAAATTAAACCAATTAAGCCACAGATTCGGCAAATTCAGGCAAATTTTCGTGGTATGAAATGGCTGGTATCGTCAAGAAAATTTTGGTCCCATGGGTTTGATTGAATCATTCCAGTTTGCGGTCCCCCTCTTTTGTTACTTTCCGCTTCTCTTGTCACTTCGATCCATCCGGCTACTTATCAATCCCAAATTTTTGTACGCTTTTTACTCCGTAGTTTATTTTCTCTGGTTAAGTGAACAGAAATGACAAAAAAATAATACGTACGTAGCAATATTGATGCAGCAGGGATCAAAATTGAGAATGGCCAAATAATTGCGGGATCAAAGGTAAAACATATCAGATTAAATTAAAAACATAAAATTTACCAAGGGAGTCCTCTCTGTAAATTTCTCGGCTTGGAGATCTTGGCGGTGTTTTAGGAATCTCATTTGAATGCAGCTTAGTAATGTCAAAATTCTGTCTGTTGCTGCTTTGTTCCAGAGGAGATGATAGAGAAGGCATTTCCCCAACTTCTGAAGACTTAGTTGCAACACGAAATACAGGAGTTGGCATCATGTGTGGGCCTGCATTTACCTCGCTTACCATTACTCTTTCCTGGTTCGCTCTGCTAAATGTAGTTGGAGATGGAACTTCAACAGCACAGGTAATTGGATGTACGGTGGAAATGGGATCTACATTATCTAAAACTGACTAGGGAGAAGTGTTAGATATGGGTTTGGGTATAGTGAATTTTGTGTTTTAGTGAAATCTGAAAATCATGAAGTGCCATGTTTTGCATAAAAAAGAGTGTATGCCTCCTGAGACATGACAAAATCTTCATCTACTCGGGTAACCTGCAAATGAATGAACTCAAGGGCTTCAGAAAACATATCTAAGAGATTAATTAGCAGTGAGAAAAAATCTCTTGGCACCACTAACACTCTAAAAGCACCTTTGAGAATGGCATATACCTTTGAGGCTTTGAGTCATCAAACTTCTACCATGCCTCTGGGGCAGCATGTATGAAGCAGTAATAGTGCCCAGATCCGATATGAACTAATATTGCATAAATACGGTAGAGGGTAGGTCGAAGGAAGAGAGTTCCGGAGCTTTCCGACATCATGGAGGGTTCATGGAGGGTTCTAAACAACAAAAATTCCTTTTGCGTACACCTTCTTATACACTACACCACACTGTATGTGAGAGTTTTTTTTGTCTGTGAGTGAATGCCAGTTCACAGACAAAACCTGACTTATTTTGTCTGTGGAAAATTCTACAGACAAAACAAGTTAGGTTTTGTCTGTGAACTGACATTCACAAACAAAAAAAAACTCTCACAGACAATGTGGTGTACTAATGTGTATAAAAAGGTGTACACCAAGAATTTCCCTCTAAACAATTACGCGTATGAGCTTTTTAATACTCCCTCAATCCCAGATTAAAGTGGCACGGTGATTAAGAAAGTGAGAATTGTGTGGTGGAGAGTTGTGCAGAGGAGAGAGAAATGTTGTGAACCACAAATTCTTTGCCAAAAAGGGAAAGTGAAGTTCTTTTTTGGACGAACGAAAAGGGAAAGTTGGAACTAAATTTAGGGACGGAGGGAGTAACTTTTAACTTTTAATAACGCTTAGCTTGTAGTGATTAAAAAGATTTTAAAAGGAAAATATTGTAGTTGTTTGATAACAAGCCGACTGTTTGATTTAAGGGGTATTTGGAGTTTGCACCCTATTTTATTGTTCAAATTAGACTATGCACCCTATTTTTAAAAATCTTTGTTTTTGCACCCCAACACCACACGAAAAGACAAAAATGCCCCTCGATTAATAATATGTTGAAGGCCAACAAAATTGTTAATGGAGGGGCATTTCTGTCTTTTCATATGGGGTTGGGGGTGCAAAAACAAAGATTTTTAAAAACAGGGTGCAAAGTCCAATTAAGACAATAAAATGGGGTGCAAACTCAAATTACCCCTTGATTTAATTCTGTTTGGTATAACAAGCTGTTGCGACTAATTAATGCTAAAAGCTATTGGTATCAATGAGGCTATATTTGTATCAATGCTTACAGTGATTGATAATTTTTGTGTCTGTCCATATGGTTGGTTAAACCGTGATACTTTTAGGGGGTGTTTGGATCTGATTCTCAAAACTGATTCTGCTCCTTTAGGGGGTGTTTAGGTGAAATTCCAGAAGCACTTCTGCAGCTCTAATTTACTCTCAGAATAAATTTTTTTAGAAGCTGGAAGGTACCAATTTCTGAAAAACTGATTCTGATTCTGCTTCTGCTTTTAAAAAAGAAGCAGAACCAAAATCAGTTCCAAACACCCCTTAATATGCTGAAAGAAGATTAAGCCTTGATATTCTGGTGTAAATTGAGGATGTTTTTAATACTCCGTAATACTTGGATGAACCCCTTTGCAGGTTTCGATATGAGTCATATGACGAGTTCACAGAGTGTGCTAATGAAGAATGATTGATAGCTTTGTATATTATAATTATTTCTCAAAGGCAGCTGCATGTTGTAATGTTCTTAAATTCTTTTGATATTCTGGAGTTCTATTTTTCTAATTTTGGTGAACAACTAAAATTTAAGCTAAACTTGGTGTTCTAGCAGATTTATTAACTTTGACCTTTTAATTTAGGAAAACTGCCAAACGGGTTGTCTTAACTATATGAAACAACAATCAACCCATCATAATACAAAATCACTGAATCAAGAGTTAATTACCTAGGTAGGAAATAGGAATAAAACATAAGAATTGTGAACAAATAGGAGTCCAGCTTTCTGTGAGATATAGGAGTAAAAAAAGAGTAGTCTGATCTAAACACTCTAATAAATCCCAATTCCCAAATTGATTTGCTTATGATTAAATCAAACTAGTAATAGTATTTACCGGGGGCGACATATCGCGGACGGAAGGCCTCGTGCCTAGGGTTGGTGCGGCGATTTTAACGATCGTCCGCGTTTTCTTTATTTCGCACGGCAATAGCGCATCGGACGGCGGCTTTGGAGATCAAAGCTGGAGTTCGTGACCTGGGCGAACGATATGGAGCAGAACGGCACCAATGGAGTGGACGCACTGGCCAACGCCTATGGAATGTTGGATCTGGAGGAAGAGGACAAAATCCTTGTGGTCGCACCAATGGCTCAGCCCTCAGCGAAACACAATTTGACCATGGTGGGGACCATTACCTCGGAAAAGTCGGTACGTTTTTCCCAATTTCGAGATATTATGGTGTCCGAGTGGAAACCGGAAAATGGTGTTTCCATAACTGAAATTGGCCCTAGGCGGTATGTTTTTCAGTTTTATAATGAGGAAGATGTCACTAGGGTTGTGGAGGAAGGTCCGTGACTTTTTTATCAGAATTTAATTGTTATACGTAGGCTTAAAGAGGGTGATATTCCCATGTTTGTTCCACTCAATAAAGCAGATTTTTTGGTCCAAGTTCATGATATCCCAGTTGGATATTTCACTGCTGAGAATGCGGAACGCATTGGGAATTTTTTATGAATTTTTATAAAAGTTGATGATAATAACTTTTCTGAGAGTTGGGAATCCTTTATGAGAATTCGTGTTTGTATTGATCTGGGGAAACCTCTGAAAAGGAAATTGGTTTTGCAAAAAGAGGAAGGAGTCACTTTCCGTGTCAGGTTTTGCTATGAGAAGCTTTCTAGTTTCTGCTTCCTGTGCGGAATAATAGGGATGCGGAAAGCCATTGTCCACATAAGCAGTGGGGCCACGAAGTCACTGGGGAAAGACCGTTTGGTCCTTGGCTTAGAGCTACAAAAGGGGCAAAGCAATGGAAGGAGAATAAATGGCTTGTTCCAGCGAGGAAAGGAATCAGATCTGATAACAAGGCTACCAGTGGAAACAAAGAGGACGGCATGCGACCAAGTACTGGGGAGGGCGGGTTCTCACCACACGAGAGGGGATACATTGAGCAGAAGCGAAGACGTGTGGAGGATCCAGGAGTGCAACAGAACGGGGGAGATATGGAGATGGTTCAGAACGAAGGAAATAACGGGGAGAAGGCGAGCTACAAATCTGTAGCTCGCCAAGCACAGCAGTGAGAGACACCGATTCACAGCTTTTGAAATTAAATAAGGCCGAGGGCCATGAAAACTTTATTTATGTTTGTTGTTTTTCCTTTTATGGTACTCATGTTGCTTTTGTTTTTGTTTGGAACTCTAGTGGTAGGTTGAGGTTTACCTTTTATTTTTTGCTTTGGGGATCTATTGTTGGTGGAAGCGATAAGGCTTGTTTGGCCGTTAAAACCTTCGAAACTCTCATATGGTTCGTGAATGGTCTCGCTCCTTCGGGGGTGGTCCATTCTAAGTCTAGTCAGAGAGTGGGGGGGGGGGGGGGGGGGCTTTGGGCTATGCGGAGCCTCAAGAGGAGGTTTGGCGTTGCAGGAGAGGTAGTACCTTTAGAGGTCTGAGTGAGGAGGTTGGGCATTGTAAGGGGGAAGTACGTTGAGGTCTTTGATTAATTTAATATAATCAGTTTCCTTTATAAAAAAAATCAAACTAGTAAAAGTAAATAGTACAGTAGACGGACAACGACACAACTCCATAGCACAATGACGACTTTCTTTGCAGCTGTTACTGTCGGCTGCCTCATCTGTTGTCGTTGTTGGTGGCTCCACCACTCGTTGCCGCCACTCCTTTCATCGCCGATGTCTTCCGTCACCGGTCACTGCTTCTTCTATCACTATCGTCGCCATCTCCAACACAACCGCCTCCACTGGTGCCGTTGCCAGTGACAGTGCGGCCGCCATTGGCGGCACTAGTGGCTTCATCTTCCACCTACCACGACAAATCTCCAATCTGACCTCCCGTTTGGTATGACTACCATAGAAGTGTCATTTCGCAGTTGGAGTGTCATTTTGCACTTAGAATTTCATCTTAATTGATATAATTTCGATCCCTACGAAAATAAGATGACACTTTCAAATAAAACATATGTCACTAATGTTTTCCCAATGTAGTAGTATTGCCATTTTCTTAATGTTAGTACATAAAAATGACATTCATTCTCGAAGTGACATTTTGAGATTCAATGCAGTAACACTATAAAGGCATTTCCATAATGACATATCCCGAAATAAATTTTCCAATAGATGGTATTTAATGAGGAAAATAATTAAAATTATGGTATTGTCAAATTCAAAAACAATAAAAATTTTCCACCAAAATCAGTATATTGCATTTATATACATACACAACTTTTATTTCTGTAATGTTTACAATATTCATACACTTTTTTGTAATATATTTTTATATTCATACACTTTTTGTAATATTTTTTATATGCATACACTTTTTCTACAATTTTTTAATCTCTTTTATATGTTTTAAATGATTTTTATGCGTGAGTTACATCTAATTATGCATGAGTTACATCTAGTTATTTGTTATTTTTGTTACATCGAATTATCTTTAAGTAATAAATTTACAACAGAATTAACAGCTTTCTTTACCACAAAATTTATATCAACCCACACAAAATAAGTATATTGTATTTCATAATCATACACTACATTCAGAGGGATAAAACTCCAATTTTTCATTATTATCTACATTAAAATCAATGTTTTAATTCTTATATTCTATTTTAGATAACTTACATTTTAACTTGGCATAAATTACATTTCTTATCATTGTGAGTTACATTGTTGGAAACAAGAGTTACATCTGTAATAACGCAAGTTACATAAAAAAAATCAACCCCTACTATTGAAACAAAAAAATGATTTTTTAAAATCCTTTTGATGGTCATGATATTAAAAACAAAACATATTCACAATTTAAGTAAAGTAATTGTGCATTTAGACTTTTTTTTATTATTTTCATTGAATCAATATTTTATTTCTTATTATCCGTATTTGACAAGTTACATTTCAATCTGTCTGTAGTTACATTTTTTATCAGCGTGAGTTACATTTCATTTCACACAAGTTACATTATTCTGCTTCTGGACAATAAAAAAAATTATTGTTCATGCGTGTGAACAATAACATGCAAAATTTTCAGGTGGGAGCAACATGCTCATGGTATGCCGATTACACCGTATACGAACTGGTCCCAAACGGCCTTATATAGTTATACGCAGTCTTGCACGGATGCTTCATCCCGATGCCGTATCCGCGTATCCGATACGTATCCGATACCGACACCTC